CAGTAAAACACTACACAGTGATCTTCTTGCAAATAGTGAAACACAGGGACCTGCAAGGTGAGGAAAAGAATGTGAACCTCTCTTTGTAGCCTCAAGCTGTTTTCCGAGTGAAGGTATTGCCCCAAGGTAGTTACATGTATCAACACCGGCTTGAAGCAGCAGGGTAGATATGCAATAATGTGGGAAATTATAACCTGCAGCAGTGAGAGATTAGCAAAAATAGCTAGCTGTGGGGGTGCTGTGATCAGGTTTTTTCGGCTGATACTGATCAGTTTTCATGTCAGCAGAATCAGACACTGTAATGCTTATCTTTACAGGAAGTCCATAACAGTTTTCTCATTTTATTTTCTTTTTTCGCTCTAAAATATTACACTATGTTCATTTTGAAGGCAGTTGTCCTTCTGTGCCTGCCTAAGACAGAAATCCCAGTCCCAGAAAGCACACTTTTAGTGTTTACAGAACTGGATGAAATCCTGGGCGTCCCCCAGAAGGACATGTTTAGTAAAAAGGAGATACTGCTTTCAGTCTGATACCAGCAGCCTGAGCATACTGCTTAGCTGACTGCATCTTGAGTATATGGAGGTCTGGACCTGAATGTAAATTACCTTAATAGCCTGCTGCATGTGGTGGAGATCCTTCAGCTGTAATGGACCAGGCAGTAAAAACAGTCACTATTTGTGTGACATTTATGTAGTTGCCTCACCTTTTTTACAATTGGCGTTGCTGATCAGCAGATGTAAAGTCAAGGTAATGAATATCAGCTGATACCAACCAGTGTTTCATAAGCAAGTGCTTGTAATGCGATAGTCATTAAAAGAAAACACTGCTGGTCGTAAGAATTTTTATAAGATTTCTTATTTACTGTACATTGTGTCAAGCTGTTGAGCGTATATCAATGTATTTTACAGGCAATGAGTGGATATCCTCTCATCTCCGGTCTAAAGCAGAATCAATACCACCTTAAGCAGGACTGGCTTTTCCACACGCACGCACACAGACGCATGCACAAACAGGAATACATGTGCATACATTGCGGAGCTCTGTAAACATCGTCTCGTACATTTGTAACAGATACGTCTGCAGCAGGCATTATCTTATTCTCTCTTACACACAGAGGACAAATCAAAAACATATATTGTCTCTTTGTGTCAATCTCTTTCTCATTTTCTTTCCTCTCTAGCCCATCAATGGACAGACGCACAACCAGACAGACGCTTTTGCACACAGACACACACGCGCACACTTTAAACCCTCTCTCTCACAGACACTCAGTCTCACAAACACAGAAAATCGAAATCACAAATCGGCTTAACTCTCCCTGACACATCTGTGAATTAAGCCTTTCCGTTGCTCTCCCTTTCCCATTATAAAGGCATTGTCAGAGGCTGAATCGGTAACAGGTAGCCCACAGCCCCTGCTGCTTCCTTCTCGCTTCTCCTCTCTTTTTTTTTTCTTCCGCCTTACTCATCTGTCTTCTTTTTCATTCTCGGTCTTTGACTTCTCTCTCTCTCTTTCCAAAATTCCACTTTTTCTCTCCAAGTCTCTGGCTTCACTTCCCTCATCTATCTTTCTTCACTCCCGTCTTCCCCGTGACCTCCATCTTTGCTTAATCATCTCTCTCCTGTCCTCACAGTGTCTTTCTGTCTCTCTTTCCTCATTTCCCCTTTCCCTTTATTTATTCATCTGTCACAGCCAGTGGCGGAATAGTACTGGGTATTTTCATTTGGTGCTACTTTATAAGTCTGTGTGCTTTTGACTGCATTAATATTGCTGCTATAATTTGTCAGTTCAGCTTATATACAAAATATAGGGTCAATTTTTAGGATACTAAGTATAATTATACAGTAAAGTACTCAGCAGCATGTAAAGTGGTTACATTTGTCAGATAATACTGCCTTCATACATGTTGATACATCAGTAAGAATCTGATAATATATAAGTGTTACACTACGAGATACTTGTACTTTTGTAAATATCATTTGTTGTTGTTGTTTTAGGTGTGGTCAAAAATATATAGAGCTTATATTCTCGTCTTTTTTATTTAAACATACCTTCATCAACAAACTTCACAATCAAGTTCACAATAAAAAACAAAATCTATCAGAAACCATTATTTCCACTGAGATTAGTATTAAGTTTGAACTTTAAGGTGTATTCTTTTTCTTCTTCTAATGGCAGTGCTATGTTTCCACAAGCTTCCAAAGTGTCTGTTGGGTCTGACTGATGTTTCGTCAACAGAGCGAGTATGCCAAGCTCAGTGTAGATATCTACATGTCCTCAAATTTGGTGTCAACACATTACTTGTCCAAAAATAAATACTTTATTACTAGGGCACCAACTATGTATGTGTCCTTGAAGTGCACTCCCAGCAGCTTAGAATGTGGGTGTAATAGGTACAACTACTTGCCCGTGGTGTGCAAAGACTCCCGTCTGCATATCCACGAGGGAATTTAATCTTAGTTTAAGTTCGGGCGGGATATGTCAACCTTACTGTCATGTGAAAAGGAAAGCACATCCTTACTGCTTCCAGTAAGTGGGAAAGTAGCAGCTGGAGGTTGGTGATCGAATGCACTTGATTAATTGATCATCAGCGAGTCTAAACACCTCTATAAAAGCAGTTTGTTGTTTGCTGATCGGGAACATTCAGGCGTGTGTTAACATAATGTTGCAATATCCCCAGAAGTGGACATCTCAGCGAATTCGACGCGCAATGCTCAGAGAAACTGCAGAATGCCAAGAGCTACTTCTCAGAGCTACAAGCCTCCATTAGCATGTTAAATCTTAAAGTTTATGAGAGTACAATTAGGAAAAACACTAAACAAGTTTGGCCTATTTGGAAGGGTTTCCAGGAGAAAGCCTTTTCTCTCTAAAACAAACATGGCAGCACAGCTTAGGTTTGCAAAGTTGCATTTGAAAAAAAACCCCACAACTTCTGGATCAGTGTTCTCTGGACAGATTACACCAATGTGGAGACATTTGGGCCTTAATCTGCAGCATCATGTTGAGCAAAAACCAAACAGCCTGCCAGCACAAACACCTCATTCCAAAAGACAAGCACAGTGGTAGAGGGTTGATGATTCGGGCTTGTTTATCAGCCAGAGGACCTGCGCCACCTTATTGTCACTGAGTCGACCACGTGACTCTAGAATACTGTGGACAAATGTGAGGCCACCTGTTGGACAGCTTTGCTCTAACTGGGTCATGAAATAGGACAATGACCCCAAACAAAGCAGAAAAACTGCAACAGAATGTCTGAAAAATAAAAAAAATCAAGGTGCCACAATGGCCCAGACCTCTACTTGATCAAAATGCTGCGGCAAGCCCTTAAGTGAACTGTGTATAAACAAAAGCCTGAAAACCTCAATGAACTGAAGCAATGATGCAAAGAAGAGCGGCTAAAATTCCTCCCCAACAATGTGAGTGACTGATAAAGTCAGACAGAAAACAATTACTTCGACTTATTGCTCCTAAAGACGGTTAAACAAGCTATTGAATCCTGGGGTGTACTTAGTTGAAAGCAACTAAGTACACCCCAGGACTCACCATGCAGTGAGTCCTGTGAAAACCTTCTTTTTCACAAGATTGTATTTGATTACCTTCTTCACTCCTCCTCGCCTTTATTTGTTATCAAACATTACATTTATTTAGTGACTGGTAATTACTGTCATTGTTGAGTCACCTGCCTTAATATTTGTATCCAAAAAAAACATTTTCAAGGTTTCAGAACTTGATACATTCATGTGTTTCGTGGTTCTTTCCTATAAGGCGTTCTCCTTTATGTCTCTAATTGACCTCACGGCTATTCATTTAGCCTTACAGTTTTCAACAACACTAGTCCAGGACATGAAGAGGTGACAACTAATCCTACTTTTTGTGTCCACTCGTTATCCAGTTTCTTTCTTGTTTGTGTACCTCCACAAAGTTTCATGTGAAGCTTCTATATTGAGCTAGAGGTAGCAGAGATGGAAGAGGAGAGGGAGGAAGGAAGAGCGGTTTAGCTGCCTGTGTTGGGAATGCAGGGAGTAGACAAGCAGAGCAATTCTGACAGGCTGTGTCTGCACAGTTTGTTCTCCAAAAGGCCCACACAGAGTCGCCAGTGGGGTACACACATGCACACACACTCCCAAGCATACACTACTTAAATTGCACCCTCACACACACACTTTGAAGTTAGACAGTACTGTCCTCCTTCACACTCGTTACACACAGTGTGTTGCAGGCTTACCCACAAACACACATAGGCACCGTTACAGTGTTACGAGCGCACAACAAGAGAAGAGAGCCGAGCAGAAGAAAAAGGGCTGGTTTTGAATGCATTCCTTCGAAGGCTTCAGTGCTGAGGAAATGGAGCTATCATGACAAGGGATGAAAGAGCAACAATGGTTTCATCGCTTTCCCTCATGTTTCACTGCACCGTGAAAAAGAAGCTTCTAGTGTTCTCATCCGCCCGTTAGGGAAAAACATGCTGTGCATTATACTGGGAGGACAGGCTCAAGAGCGAGCAAGTGAGAGCGAGGGACGGAGAAAAAAAAAATCATACTGCTGATACATCGGCAGCAGATAGTGATGGCTTTGATAGACTAAAGACAGTGGTGTGTATTGGTCCCTGTGTTCTGTTGCTGATTATTGACACCGTCCATCTTTTTGTGCCCAAAAACCCTCCTGTCGTCCTCTGTTTCTATTCATTTCATGCTTTTGATGATTCAATCGCTAACCCAAGTTTTCTTCTTTCTGTCCTCATGCTGACATTCTCTTATGTTGTACTTCATCTCACTTTGTTTCGCCTAGTCTAAAGGACTATATAATTTATATTTAGACAGTATGAGGACTAGCAACTACTTGTGGAAGTTCGCTTAAGGCTTATGTAAGCCCGCATAGTTAATCAGTGAGAAAAATTCACTAAACCAAAATGCTCCATCATTTCTTCTGTTCCTTAATTCTTCTCACCTTGTCCTTTTTTTGTTTTTATTTGTTTGTTTGTTTTTACCTGCTTCCCTCAGGGTGCAGTGATCACGCCAGCCATGGACCACACTATGTCCATGCAGCCTGCCAATATGATGGGCCCTCTCACTCAGCAGATGAACCATCTGTCCCTGGGCACTACAGGAAGTGTGAGTAGGATTCGCTGTGTCACAGCGAACCACACACAGATAACCCCACACAAGCACACATAGTTGCCGTGATCATCATGACAGAATCTGGCTACAAGGACATTTTGTGCTCCAACATGTTAGCTGTACTAGCAACAACCTGTTGCTTTGAGTGTTTCAGTTAGTTTTGCATTAAATTTTTGAAAAAGTTCCTGGATGATGAAGTTCAGTTGAATTTAGTTTAGCTTTGCACTAGGTACAGCTATGCAGCAGCTATTCTTCAATAACAAAACCCTTGTGACTACACTATGGCGACTTACACAGAGATGTATGTAAAACATAAAAAACAGTGCACACAAGTCCTTAAAGTACAACCAGCAACCATCTAAATTCTAATGGCCTGATTTACAATTTGTACTCTGTATTACATAAGCTGTGCTACCAGGCACCATAACAACAATACATAATAACATTTCAACATTCATTTTAATAATTTCGAGCTGTGATCTGTAGCTCTGGCAAAAGGATTTCCAAGTCTCTGAGTCTGGTTTGATTTTCAGGTCTTTTCAGACAGAATAAACAAGAGATCATGATTTGGGTTAAAACTTGTTTTCATCTTTTTACAGTGTTAGAAAGCTCCATTCATAGCTTGCCAGAGTGTCGTCCTCAGTGCATATTTTACATGTTTACTGGAAGTCACTTAACTCTAAGAAATACCTACACTCGACAGTAACAGCAAGCACAAGCAAATTTTCCTCTGCTTATCCGATGTCCGGTCACGGTGGGTAAGCAGTGTAATCCAGGTGTCTTTCTTTCCCCAGCAATACATTCCGGTTTCTAGTGGAGTATCCCGGGGTATCTGCAGGGTAGATGACATGTAGTCTGCTCCAAAACGAAATCAAATCTATTCATAGAAGGGTGCACTTTAAATATACGTGGTCGGTTGTTTTCTGTTATTTGTTTCCTCTATTCCAGTATACAGTTGGAAAATATCTAAAAAAATCTGCGTCTAGTCTTGAGAGATGAAAAAGAAATGTTCAAGTTGTTGTGAGGGGTGCTATAGGTCGGTATGACCGAGTTGGAGGCTTTTTATCTCAGAGAACATTGTTCGTTTAGTTTAGAAACACTGAGTAAGAGATGGGTTTTACATTTCCTTTCAAAGAAGCCAAACCTTCTTAGGCTGTCGCCACATGTGCTCAGCCACGGAGCTGCCATATCATTTGTTTTACACAGCATGCGTTCACAGCCACATATTGAGAGAGCGTATTTCCTTCCTGATCTTCCACATTAAACAGACTTCCTGTGAAGCTCAACAGTGTGACAGGCCTCTCGCTTCTCCACCTTTTTCACTTTCACCCCCTAATTTCTGTTTCTTTCTCACACTTTTCTGTCTCTCCTCGCTCTCTAAATCGCACAGAAAATCTATCGCTCCATCAGTTTTCCACACACTCACTTACAGTTGCTGGCCCCTAAACCATGAACTCCCCACCTGTTTCAGGATCAAGTCGACTTAGAGGTGTCACACGGTTCTGAAGCCTGACTTCCTGCCCTAACCCTGCTGCCCGCAGGCAGGCGGGCAGGCAGACAGCTTTGCTCCAGAACTACGTTTGATCTCTGTGTGTGTGTTTGGGTGTGTATGATTGAAACAGTGCTGCATTGTACAGTTATCCATGTGTTTCCAGGTGAGCTGTCAGCGACTGTGACGCCATGTTGGCTCTGTCAGGAATGCCCCCTCCCTAATCTGCCCCAGCTGTGCTAACAGCCAGGATTAGAGACAGGCTAATCTATGATGATGGCTTCTGATGTTTGATGGGTTGTATTATAGGAGAAAGTGGGTTAAAGCTCTCTGTCTGCTTTTTTCATTTCGGGTTTACCCTTTCTACCTCTCCCCTTTATGCGTACTTAGCTTTCCTGAGGCAATGTGCTGTGTAGCCTAACCTCTCTACGGCTGAACTAACACGCATGCCATGCCACACTTGATCATCTTGGGGAATTGAGACGCGTTTCCTACGCCAGATGCAAAATCCCTTTCATGATTGGGAAAGCCTGTTAAAAAGAAGGGGTTAGGAACAAGGATCTGTAACTATTCATGTATTTAACTGGACTTGACACCACATACTCTTTGAGCACATTCCTCAAGTGTACACACAGAAGCGGTGAGGTTATTTTGAATGCCCCTACTGGTCACGTGACTTAGCCTTCACCGCAGAAGAGCACCTGCAGTAAGCACCGTCTCCAGAGTCAACAACTTATCATGCTTCTGGCTGCTGAAGTAGAGCCACACCTCAGAATACTCTTGGCTGTTCCAGGCCTCGCTGCGGCTGTTTGTGTATGGCTGTGGCTTCCTTTTTCTCTCCAAGAAAAGAACCAAATGTTCTCAGTCCGCCCAAGCTGTCACACTGGTGTGGTGACCGTAGCTTTCCGAGAATGCCGTGTTATTTTGCAGCGCAGATCAGCTTGCAGGGTGAGGCTTTAAAAAGGAGCGGCAAGGAAAAACCTCGCCTCATAACGAATGAGGATGGATCGTTGCCTACTAATGGTCACTGCTTTGGAATTTAGCTGCTTCACCAGAAAATGTTCTGTTTTGAACTCATCCAGTTCAGCTTGGTGTCTGTCTGACTTGAACGACTTGATTACAGAATGCTAAAGAACCTCAGGCGCACTGTTTATGGATGGCACACATAAACATGCCATCCATGCTTCACGCTGATTTATTTTACCTTGTTTGGTGCATATTGCTCTGTTGCTGATTTATTTACCGTCTTCGAGGTCTCACCACTTAACAGGAGTCTATCTGTCATGCCTCGTGTCCCTGTTAGTCGCTGTGCACGTGCATGTGCACATGTGCGTGCGCTCTGTTCGTCCTTTTGATATTTGTGTCTGTGTGTGATTGCATGGCTGTCAGCATCTACGTTTGTGCGAACGACATATTGTTTGACATGACAGGAGGTGACCTTCCCTCAGTGTTCTCCATCCTCTTTCTGTCATGGCATGAAGAACTCTGTTGTCATGGTGACAGCGGTGATTGACAGCATCTGTGTCACAGGAAGACAGATTTGTATGAAGTGTTTTCCTTTATTATCTGGACAGCTTCCCTCGTGTTTTTGCTTTTTCTACATACATCTGTGCGTGTGCATGCTCGTAAGCTTTCCCTGCATGGGTAAAGTTGACGAGCATGCACTTTCTTCTTCCTCTTCAACTTCGGACTGTAACACATGTTGACACCCTGCTGATTCCCCCTACCACCGAGCTCTTTGGTCTTTGCAAGACTGGGATGATTATTTTTAATGCAACACTCTTGAACTATCTTTATTTTGTCTTAGTCCAGGTTTACATTCTTTTGAAATATTTGGAGCTGTGATGTTGGTCTGATCCTGAATCTAAAGGCTGGATCGGGAATCAGTGACCTCCCCTCATTTCTTTTATATTTTGCTACGAAAACAGGAAATAGGTGCTGCGATTTGATGAAACATGGAAATATATAAAGTAATACGTCATATGAGGCAAAACCAGGGCTTGTGCAATTTTAAGAAGTCAGTATTTGGTATGATCACCTTTATTCTTCAACACAGTCTGAACTCTCTTAGACAAGCCTTCTTTTAATTCCTTTAAATAGTCTTCAGGAATAGTTTTCCAGCCTTCTTGATCATTGTCATGATGAAAAATGAAGCCACTGCCAATCAGACTCTTTCCAAATGGCACTGCATGGTGGATCAATATCTAATGGCACTTTCCTGTGTTTATAATTCCATCAATTTTGACAAGATTCACCTGTTGCACTTCTCTCCTGACCTCCACCATATTGGTAGCGATTTGAACCAAATATTTCCTGTACTCACTGATTTTCAGTCCAGTTCAGTTCATAGCTTGGCCTTTTCTCCCTGTTTTCCAGACAAGTGAAAGGCCAGATGCATCTCTCTGTGTCCTGGCCTTCAGATACTGTTCATCTGCTATAGATAGTTTGTAGGCCTACCATTTATTTTGTCCTCCCTGTCTAGTTTCCTCACGTTTTTAAGGAAACACTACACAGAATGCCGAGATATGCCAAATGTTACGTCAATAGCTCTTTGTGAATCACCTTTTTGGTGAAAAAATACAACTTTATGCTGTCAAACTATGTTAATTGGACATTTTTCAAAAATTCAACTAAATAAATTGGAGCAAACTGGTTCTCTTGCAAAGTTGTCTATGTGCAGACACAACACTGGTTCACAAGTCATTCAAGCCTTTTTATGCTTGAATGATTAAAAGGTTAGTGCCAAGTGGCTTAAGAAATAAAGAAAATGCTTCTCTGAAGAAAAAAGGACTGGACTGAAAATGAGAGAAAAAGCAGCCAATGTTCAAAGAATAACTTTGAAAGACCTTCAGAAAGCCTGTTTCTCAAAACCACTTTAAATAACAAGAAAGTCTGGCTCATAGGAAGCAAGCAGGTTGAGTGGTCCTCAATGTCAATCAGCTGCAAGAATCTGCAGTCGGACAGACTCCAGCTCCACATTTTGAACTGCAGCTGGCGACGGTAGTCTTCATACCTGCTGTGAACTGAAGGGCCACTCCAACCGGAACCCACGGCAACAGCTTCTTCTTTCATACTCGCGCGCATATATGTACGAGTATATGCCCCTGTCTCCTTACAAAGCAGTGTAATTCTGTGGGAAACACTGATAGCACCAGTGGTCAAAAAGTTCAAACAATATCCTGGTGAGGGAGAGTGAGTCGTAAATAAAAGTATCAAAGCTTTCTACCATAAAAGTGACTGATTTTACTGGCATTAATCTCTGCAGGCAGTCTTAACAAACCCTTGGGATGAGGATATGAAGAGCTTGTCACAGTGAAGTGGGACAGCACTGTAATTCACAACTATTGATGTGCATTTCCAATAGAACTTCACTGCGATTTTTAGATCACTAATCATCAGAGCCCTTCCCCCACGCCGCAGTAGCTGGATGTTCTAGCCTTGACCCGCTATTATCCCTCACCTTGCAGACGATACAACTGAAAAAGAGAGCGTCAACGCACAGAGGATGGATAGATGCGGAGCTTGAGTGGCAGGCCAAGAGGCAGAAGATTTATGTGAACATTTGGAAATGCTAATGTGCTGTGCCACATTCCACCAAAGCTGAGAAATCCTCGTACCCACCAAACTTAAAGTGTCTTTACACATCATTGTGGTGCAGAGGCCCAAACCACCGCTGAACCAGCGCGGCTGTGTCTATGCTATGGATTTTCATCCTGGTGTTGCTGCATTGCGGTCTGAATTTATACCATAGTTATAGGTGTATGTCATGGAGATTGATGGTAGAGAAGAGACTTAAGGAGTCTACTCACACCATTCTCGTTAAGGAGCTATTCAGGCCTCCTGTTCATCAAACATACGCACACGCCATCTGCTTCTGGCGCTGCTGTGTGTGTGTGCATGTGTATTGACGTATATGTGTGACTTGGAGAGTGAAACACCATTTATGGCCAATTAGGGATGCTTTATATTACCCAAACCTGTCCCCTGACTATGGACAGCAAAGTATTAAAAGTGTTGAAATTGGACAAAAATCATCTTTATCACTATAGCAACTCGATTATCTGTAGCCGCGCTTGACATCCCCCTGACTTGCCGCAGCAGCGACTGGAGAAATATGCCTTGCTCAACCTGCCACATTAAATAGGTTAACTAATGGTTATGGTAAAAGAAAAAAATCTTATCTTATTAAATTTTCTTGTTAAATCTAATTTAAATTCCTTTTGCAGTCCTGCAGAGAAATATAACCTTTCAAATGGACATTCTCCCTATGACAGGGAGATTTTGATATTGCTAATTATCTCCTACTTTCCTTCATTTGCTTTCATGCAGCCCTCACAGGTGAGTTGGCTGAATAAGTTAATAGGGTGGAGAGGCGAAGACCTAAAGTCCCGAGGAAAATTGGTATGCATGGTTTTGATCCACCAGGGAGAAGGTCACTTCAACAATCTGATAGGCCTTTTTAGACGCTAGCAGGTTGAAAGAGAGCGAGCAAGAAAGAGAGAGAGTGACAGGAAGGTGAGAGGAAAGAAGGGACGACACGGAGAGGTAATGTGGTAATGTGTCAGGAAGTCTGGATATGCCACCTCACCCCATCCTGAGTGTGACAGCTCTGAAGGTGTGATAACCTTAAATTCCCCTGCCCGGACCCACACAGCCACGCTCGCCTACGAACGCCACACTAACATCCATCCCAGGGCATCCTCCTGGCCGCGCGTAGCAACGGTGGGGGAGTTAATCACCCATGTCCATGGCCTTTAGCTGCTCTCATTAGCGGTGAGCGGTGGAGCCGTACCCGATCCATTAGCAACGCTGCCGGTAATGACACTTCACCAGCACCGCCGGGCCCGCGGCCAAGAAAGGCTTCGCAGCCCGGCGCAGCCCCTCCATTACTGACTCGTACTGCATTCTGCCGCCACGCTTTTTAGCACTTGCAGGTGGGACTAAGAGGCAAAGGGAAAAATAAAATAGAAAGAAAGGGATTGTACTTCCCTTTTCGCTTGGTCCGGAAAAGCAGCAGGAAGATGAGGCCAGGGGGAGAGGCAGCCCTGGTGGCTTTTATCTGGGATCACATCCGTTGGCGCTGTACTGCAGCATTATCATTCCAAGCCTCTTTGTCTTTGTCTGTCTTTCTCAAACACAGACACACACACACACACACACACACACGTATGTATCCCACACACAGCTGTACACAGGAGAACTTACACATTCACAGTTGGACGGACAAATAGTGATAAGTCATCTTTTATGCACAGGCATGTGCTAATTAAAAACAAGCACGCACACTAGTAAATCAGGCTCACACTGATGTGTGTGTGTGTGTGTTCACCATTACCACCGCCACACAAAGCATTCACAGCAAGTTACAGAAAAGGCTTTGCACAAAGTGCCGTGTCTTCATTCATATTGCATGTGAAAGCCCCCCCTGGCTGTCATGTAACGAAACCTGTGTCACGCCTGTAAAATGGCCATCTTGGAGCAAGCTAGCACCCTGTTAAAAGCCAGGGCATGCATAACTAAAAGAATATAGGCCACGGGCAGCAGACCACCTGCTTTTTCTTTCCTCTCCCTCTCTCTCCTCATCCCTGTCGTTTTTTTATCTTCTCAGCTGTGGCCCAGTGCATTTGCTTGCCTCTGAAGTCTTGGTGGGACAGCAGGGCATCTCTTCTTTCTCCTCTTTCTCCTTCTCCTTATGTAGTCTTCTGATCTGCTCTGCTCTGCTCAATATATACACATATTCTTTTAGCGCCCCCCAAAGGATGCTGAGGGCACAGCAATCTGCCACCCTAATAGTTATGGGAGTAATTACACTGAATGAGTCTTCCAGGGAATTATGATAGACATAGGGCTTTTTTATGTGAAAAGCATGTATTGATTAATGTTATAATGGAATTTGTGGTTCCGATGTGTGTTGTAAGAATTACCACATGACAGGATTTTGATGCGTGTGTGTCTTTTGTTTCTGTTTCAGTACATGACTGCTGCAGCCGCCGCGGCGCCTATGCAAGGGACCTACATTCCCCAGTACACTCCTGTGCCTCCAACCGCTGTCCCTGTCGAAGTAAGACCCACATGCATGCGCACGCTACTCGTCAAGTATTAAAAATCTGTCGACGTTTACGCATAGGAGGACATCATTAGTACTAACAGCCTACTCACTTCCACCCACAAGCACTCCCTTCGCCATTTCTAAGCCTGCACGCCACATCAGTAGACTTAAACAGTCATTAAATTGACAAATTACATTTGAAGCATGGCGCAAATTGCTTTTATTCTCTCTAAACAAATGGCTTCGTACCAGCAGCACATAACAAGGATCAAAAACTGCAAGCAAAGCAAGATGAGTCAGAAGTTTTATAGTATTTGGGAAAGACATTTGAAGTGCAGTGTAGACTTTCTCACTTCCTCGGCGGCTGTCTGAGCTCCTGGCAGGTTCGGGCAGTCCAGGCTGAGAAATGATGAACGTGGAGAGCGGGTGGGTAGGCAGGCAGGCAGGCCAGCAAGGAGAGCGGGCCAGCTGTCTGGCGGCTGACAGTGCGGTCGTACTCAGATGGACTATCAGTCGTGTATCAGATGACAGGAGCTGAAGTGAGACACAGTGCCGGCGGTGCTGTCTCTCTCTCTCCACCCCACCTCTTCCCCTACAGCCGGTTTAAGCTGGTAGGTAGCTGGAACATGCACACATCCGTCAGCCACGGAGCTCTGGCTAGCCCACCGGCAACGGACAATGACAGTTTTCACTGACAGAGCCATTAGTCGCTTCCTGCCCCCCCCCCCCCCCCCCCCCCTCCCACATCCCACCCCGTCAGAAAGTTGCAGTCTTCGTCATGAAGGAGCGAGGCGGAGGAAAGAGATGTAGTTGTAGCGTAGCCCACGGCACCTCTTGCCTATTTCATCCTCACAATTGTCCTCTCAGTGCCAGCGTCAGCAGCGGGGTGTATATCACTGTATCAGCCAGTGTCTGGAGGGCTGATGTATGGACAGGACGCAGTATCCTTGAGAGCTTGTTAAAGGTGATTGAGATGACTCGGTGATGGTGGCTATCTGTATTGCTCGACACGTAAAAAGGCTAAGCGGCTGTTGTGATGAATTCATTGTACGTAGCCATCCTTAAAAAAGTTTCTACCTTAGACTTAAAATTCGGCAAAAAATATAAAGTATGTTTCATTAATGGCATGATCTCACGCACAGACTGTGCATCTTTTTTATTGTTTAGCCTCCTCGGTATTGCTCTTAGAATAAAAATGCTCCTTTTATTTTTTTTGTTGTAGTGCACGAAGCAAACGTCGGCCGCACTTCTACAGCGTGTGTAATTCTTCTCAACGTATATTGGCTTCTTCGGATGGAAGAACTCTTTGCTTTAAATGAAGTTATGTGTTTAGAGTGGATGGAGCTGCCATAGGGTCTGTCAGTTTGAGAAGTGAATAAACAAAAAAATGCTCTTTGGTATACTTTTATGTCAAGTCAAATCAAATTGTCTGTATTACGTCTGCGGGAAAGATATTCTCTATCCTTAGACTCTTGATTTCTGTGATGAAACTGCACCAAAAAATCCTTTTACAGAAAACAAATAAGACAAACCGCATAAGCAGCAGAAAAGCAACAGAAGAATTGTCCCTTTTCCAAGACAGACAGGCATGCGACACCACAAATGTAAACACAGAGTAGACAGAAGGAGAAGTTTACTAGATACAGCCGCATACTTGTCTTCTTCCAAGCTTACATGTTTCCACCTGTGTCTGTGTGTGTGTCCAGGGAGTGGTGACAGACGCTTCACCCCAGACAGTGGCTCCTTCATCACAGGACGTGGCTGGCCAGCAGCAACAGATCCAGGTGGACAGTGCTACTGACCATGTTCCTGCTTACTCATACCAGTCCAAGTACGTCCAGCAGGAGACAGTTTCTGCTAACCTTTTGTATGCATCAAAATCTCTCTTCATTAATTTTTTTCTTAATATATAATCTTATTTTTAAAATTCAAGCTTTTGAAATGGCAATATATATGACTATGTATATGTATATATATATATATATACCAGCCACTTCATTAGTTCCAAACAATAAGGATCCCCCACACCATTACACCACCACCAGTAGCCTGAGCCACTGATACAGACATGATGGATTCCTTATTTCTTGTTGTTGTACCAGGAAACATTTTTCCAATCTTCTCTTGTCTGATTTTGGCCAGCCTGTGCAAACAGTCGCCTCAGTTTCCTGTTGTTAGTTAACAGGTGTAACAGACGCTCCTCTTGCATACCTTGGTTGTAACAATCATTTATTTGAGTTGCTGTTGCCTTCCTATCAGCTCCATGCAGTCTGGCTGTTCAACTCTGACCTCTGGCATCAACAAGGCGTTTTCACCCAGAGAACTGCTGCTCACTGGATATTTTCTCCACTTTGGATCATTCTCGTAAGCCCTTTAGGCAATTCAGTGCCTAAATGCAATGAACTGCTGCCATGCGATTGGCTGATATTTCCATTAACAAGCAGATGAACAGGTGTACCTAACAAAGTGGCCAGTGAGTGTGTATTGATCCAGCACATAAACCCAAATGCTCAAGGATATGGGGATATGAGGATATGCTTGGCCTTTAATATTGTAGCATCCGGACATGTTTGGGAAGGAGAGGAAAATGATGAAGATTAATGATCTGTCTTATTCAGCGGATTTATATTTGTTTACATTTCTGCTATTACGATTATATTTAACTTAATGCTGTAGCACAAAGCTGTGTTAGTGACTATCAGCTGGTAATGTGCAAAGTGAGGCCCTGCTAATTTTAAAATATAAAGTGTCTAAAGTTTTTTGTCCAAGATAAAGCAATGAATAATAATGCTAGTTAAATAACACCGACTGCCTTATGTCAATTCAGACTGCCTAACGGAGTAATGGATACTACGGTACTTGGGTTTTATTAACTGACACTATTTGTCTTGACTTAATAAGTGTATATCATAATCAAACAGAACACATAACATAAAAACTACAATGTTTTATTCCTCACACCATTTAAATATTAACTTTATTGACTTAAAACAATATTAAGCAACTGATTGCTCCAGGGTTTTGTTTTGGTTTTTTTTGTTTTGTTTTTTAGTTTTTGTTGTCTTCTCTAGATAGGCTGGAAGTAAACGATCATTTTGGATTTTATAATCCACTACAATTTCTCAGTTTTGTTTTTTACAATTTGTTTTTAGTAGATAGTCTCCCTCGGGTGTTTGTGATAACAAAAGCAGTGAAGTTTGTGAGGTTTTTCTGTTTGACGAAGGTTTTTGTGAAGCAGAGGCTTAATAGAGACCTTAAAAAGAAATCAAAAAAGCAAAGTACTATGAAATGTAGTAGCATTACATAATGATTCAGATTATTCCTGGCTGCCGTTGTCACTTTTTTGCTTTCTGACCCGATCATAACTCTTTAACGCGTATCATTTTGCTCCAGCATTCTGACTGAGCTGTCAGCCGTCGGCTCTATTGCTTCGCTGCGTTTGTAAAATTGTGCTTTGATTGCAGACGCACTCACGCTCTCTCTTTCTCTCTGTATTTCTGTTTTCTCCTCTTTCATCAGATAGCAACGGCCTAGGCGAATGTTCCTGTGACAGCGTTGCCTTGAGACAGAAGGTGGCTGCACTGTGAATGTGAGGAGAAAGAGAGAAGAAAAGAGATTGCTTCCAGATTGCCCAGGCACCAAAAAAAAAGAGACACTTTTTTCATTTCCTACCTGGCCTACAAGGAAAAAAATATCAAGAAGGAGGCAAAGATTGCAGAGGAAGGGGATGGGGAAAATTGCTGGGCACAAGTGCAAAGAAGTGAATTTGTTTAGTCTGGGAACCTGCCTGAAGGGGCTGGGCTGAAGCTTGAAAAGTTTCTCAAAGAAAATTCTCAACGAATTGAAACAAAACAAAGAAAAACTACAAAAAAAGAATAAAATTCGAAAATTCGAAAAAAAAAAAAAAAGGTTGAATGCGCAGGTAGGTGATGAAGTTTATTTTGTAATTAGAAAAGGGGAGTCAAGTTTGAGATACACACAGAGATTGTCTTCCTCAGATATTAAGCTACAGTTTCTTTTCTGTCTTTTTATGTTCTAGTGTTAAATCTTAGTTTTCTAGATATATTCGAAAAACAAGATGTTTTTTTTCTCCTTTCTTTCTTGAATCTTCATGGCCTTAATTTGAAGGGCGCCAGAAACTTTTTACAGAGATTAAGTCTGACGTCATGTTGGGAGGAAAAAAAAAAAAAAAGCTAACAAAAACAGTCTCTTGGACCACTTGGAGGGTACAAGACAGTAGATGAATTGTTCTAAAGAGGAAAAAAAAAAGAATCTATCACATAAGCTGTACAGATTTAATAGAGAAGAGCTTTTTTTTCTTTTCTTCATTAGAAGAAAACTTTGATAATTATTATGTCAGAGGTAACTAAGTGTCAGAAGTAAACAAATGTCTGTCGTGGGGGTGGGAGACTCTGGGTGGGCGGGTGGTCGGGCGGGTGGGGGCGAAGCTTTGAAGAGATTTTTCACAGTGAGGAAAAAAAAGAAAAAGTAAACATAAGAAAACATGCTGCAGTCCTGCAGGATGCAGTCTGCTGCAAATGCTGAACTTGTTTTTTATCGTCATTATTATTTTACATGGCAACGTTGCTGTCGATGACATTAGTGCTTTTTATCTGCCACATTTTACCTTTTTTATGAGCTTTAAAGATGTTTTTAGCCCGCTTTGCTTGTCACACTGCAAAAAAAAAAAACTCACAAAAAAGGAGGAAAAAAAATAAATAAAATGAGCAGGAGGAAAACAAAAAACTACAGAGAAAATTCTGGCAGTAAAACAAAAAAAACAACAACGTTAGATTCAGTAGGAGCTTATGGTTTAAACCAATCAGTGCAAAAGCAATAGAAAGAAATTGTTGACAATTTCTGTAGTCTTTCCTAGTTGTGGATCAAATGCAGCCCATGGATGGCCATTTTTATACCAAAGATGAAGAGACACTCTGAACCAGAGTTTAGTTTTTCTTTTATTGTTTCCTTTTGTTTTGTTTTCCTTTTCATTTTTCAGTTTGATTTTGTTGTTGTTGATGTTGTTGTTGATGATGATGTTAATGTTGATGTTGATGTTGTTGTTGCTGTTGTTGTCGGGTTTTTTTCTGCTTTTTTTTTTTTTTTTTTTTTTTTTTTTTTTTTTTTTTGGTTTTGTTTTTTACCTTAATGGCCGGACCAGTCCTTGCTATCCTTCTTAACCGGGTTTAAGAACACTTTTCACAGTTGTCCGAGCTGTCGCGCACGCTCACGCGCACGCATATCGATAACGCTCATACGCCGTCTCAGACACACACACCAGACAGTGTTGAATTGCGTGGCAGTTTTATCAAAAGTCCTCTTTCCGTCTTTTAATTTCTCTTGTGTGTGTCTCATCTCGTCCTCTTCTGTAATGCTTTCACACACTGTGTGTGCATCCCACCTCTGTCTCTCTCTCTCTCTCAAATCCTGCAGGGAAAACTTTAGGAATCAGACTGGGGAATGTTGCTGTGTCTGCTAAGTGGTCGTTGACGCGACGCATCGCTTCCAGCTAATTTCATTCTGTTTATCTGTTTAATTCAACCATAACTATCTCAGCCATTTGTCAGTGTACTAAGCTTCAGCAGGAAGCCCCCCCCCGGCTGCTGTTTGACCTCATGTTTAATCAGTATGTCATAGGTGGATCGCTTTTTAATATATTTATGTGCTCAAAACACCAGAGTCACCTTTGCTGCATATTGTGCATAAATTGCTCCCCAAAAGGAACAAAACTGAAGTCTTTTGGTAATGATTGCATAAACTTTATGGCACTTAATGGCACTCTCCTTGTGTTTACAGCAGCCTAACTGAGTAGTTTGACATTTTGGGAAAATTATGGCAATTTTTTTTCTTTAGAAGTTTATAATCTTGCTGGATTAGTCAGCACCCAGCAGTTTGGCTTAGCCTTGAACAGTACGTGGAGCAGAAAACCTTGCAGCACCACTTGTTGTATCTCATTTGTTTTATACAAAAATAACACCTTTAGTCTTGCAACGTCCCCGCCTCTCATCCTGTGACAGCGGGGAATAGCCCCTCCCCACCGCGGCCCTGAATTGGACATGCAGAAGAACAATGATGGAGAAATATTCCTCTGAGCCACATTTAACTTTGTGGACATGTAGTAACCATTCACTTTGCTTTTGTATTATTTGTGTAGTAAGCCCGCTGTCACTACTGCCTGCCATCACTGTGACGCTAACAAAGCATGGAGGTAAGGAGTTTAAAAGCAAGAAGAGGACTGCTTGTCTTGAACATCCCTCCTGATCATTTGTAGAAGGTCAGCACACCTGTGGGAAGTAACTAGGCTTCCCACCAGCCATAACAGGATGTCGATGGCAGCTTCTTCCTCAACCTCGCCACTGAGTGTCAGTTACACCCCTAGTTGTCCCAATTTGTTGCACAAACAACCCCGTCTCGTCTGACCCGGTATTTCCATCCCTGAGCCGCATGAGGTTTTTTTCAGTGACTTCATCTCTGTGGATTGTCCCCAGAGAAATTGCCTGTGGGTCATTTCTGCCCGTATTACAGAAAGCCTGTGTGTCAGGAACGCTGTGTGCGTCTGTGTTCTGCTCACCCGTGGCCTCCCCTGCTCGGCCCCGGCTGTGGTGCCGCAGCACTAAAAAGAACCGCGGCTTCGCTTGCAACATTAATGTGCCATGGTCAAGCCACCCTCCTTTGCTCTCATTTTCCCCTCGCTGTCATCCTCTCCCTCTTCCACCAACACCGCCACCCCCGTCTCTCACGCTATCTCTCTCTCACTCTCTCTCTGAGGTTTCTTCTCTTTATTGGATGGTGCAGAAGCAGAACCACAAACCAATTTCAGTCACTCTCGCAATGAGGCTTGACGGGCCCAATTTGTCTCCCTCCGGGGCAATAGGATCCACTCCAGTGTCCCTCAAAAGACCCCTTTCTTGCGGAGAGAGAGGGAGCTTTTTGTTTGGTGACAATTGCAATTGAGCACTCGCAGTTCATGTGACTCATTCAAATCCTGTGCTTCTGGCAGTGTGCACGTTGCAAAGTGAACTGCGGTATGTCATCATTCGCGGTGATTTCTCGTTTTCCTTTTTTTTTGTAAGCAACAATCAAACTGTACATTGAGTGCCTTTTTAACAAAGCTTCCAAATAATTCCAAATCATCTGTGTAATTGTTAATAAAGCAAAGCACATGGAAGAGCTTGTTAAAGAAGCTGTGCTGAGGAAACGCTACTCTATGGTGCTAAAGATGAAGCTGTCTTGGGCTTCTGCCTTTCATTGCGATCGGTGATTTTCTGTGGTGAGCCGGCCACTGTTGATCACTTGGCCGCCAGCTCGATCTTAACCGGCCTCCTGTCCACTCGATGACACAAAAAAATTGTTCCCGAAGTGAACTACACTGTAAAAGCCATATTTTTATTTTCCCTCAGTCGCACCGCGAACACCCTCTGAAGATTCCTGTCTTCCATCCACCGACGGACATCAGAAGCCAGACGTGTCACTCGAGCTGTCCCTCATTGACTGTTATCCAGTCACATCAACACATTGGGCCTTTCCTTTCATCTGATCTACCACTCAGCATCTGCTTTCGCTCGCCTTCAGGCTACGATCTGCTCTTATCTCCCGTGGAACAAGTCCCTTCCACCTCCAACTGCTAACAAGTCATGTTGGGCTTTAGGGTTCCCTCGTCGTGCCAACGCTGCTCATCTGTTCACAACTGTTCGTTTTTAAGTGTCCTGACAAAACAACAGAGCTGCTACACTTTACCAGTTTTAAGCTAGTGTGTGTTTTTGTGTGTCTGGTGTATATGTGAAGAGTTGTTTGTGTTAGTGTTTCAACCTTTAGCAAGGTTATGAGTACAGCATAGCTAAAACCGAGTTCTCTAGACTTTTACAGCTGCTGTTTTATAGAGTACAGGAGACATTTTGAAGCTTAATAGGACTCATAATGCAGGAGTTGCACATCAGAGAGCAGAGCGTCCTACAAATGGCCTGAGATTCAATAGTAATGGCATTATGGGAAATGGGATTACAAATAGCCAAGAGATTATGGGGAGAAAAATGCACAACAAAAGGATATCAGTTCTATTTTGCTAATGGAAATTCAAGAAAGAAAAAGATGTTAAGGCAGGTGTTTGCTACTAGTGCACAGTACCAATATTTCACATAGATCTGAAAGATTACCCAACAAACAGAAATGGCTTTTTCTTAATAGCACAATGGCATAATGTACCTTTTCAGAATACGAATACCTTCTCCGAAGTTTACAGAGGGCATGCCTGCAATTTTAAGGAGGCAGGAGCAGAAACTGCTCCCATTCAGCCCGTGTGTCAGCACAAACCAGAAGCCAGCCATACCAGAAAGAAAGTGGGTGCGTAAAAAGAAAAAGAGGGGGTGATCGTTAGCTCCTGTTGCCAGGCAGAAAGTGGCCCTAGCCTCAAGTTTCTTTGTCGCGATGCAGCGGTGTGTTCCCCGTACAGGACTGTAGGAGGTGACCGATGCGACCCCCCCGTGCTAATTAGGAGCACATTCTCACCCCTTCTTTGTCCATCACACCAACACCTCCCTCCCTTTTTGTACACAGCCACTCATCATTTTAAGTTTTCTGTGTGATGTGCGGTACCTCGCTGTCACACTTGGCTTTCCTCTTCTTCAAGTTCACAGTAGCCACCGTATGTCCTTTTCAGCTTTTAGACGGAAATCTGTTCATCGCTGTTACGGCTGCTTTAAAGTGCCGGCGTCCATTTGGAACAAGACACCATAATCTCAAAAGAATCCATCTGGAGTAGTTGATCTGATTAGGATGCCTCATGGGAATTGGGATGCCACTGGGTGGAGACCCTGGTGCAGGCCCAGGATGCACTGGAGGGGAATATGTGCATCGGTTAGCTTGGGAATGCATGCTCCACCAGAAGAGCCG